CGGCCATTCCAGTCCCCGACGACAATTAACAGAGCACGGCGGGGAAATCTTTCAACTAGCTCCTGTAACTGGGATTCGGTGCGCTAGACCTCAGCCCTCCGCGCCCCGGTAACACTATTGCTCCTGGTCCGCGACTGCTTATTCGCAAGACCTGGGCACCTGCTTACTTCTCCTGAAGGCCGTTCTACTATCTGCCACCTGTGGACGCGCCAGGTAGCCAACAGCTAGGCTAACGGCGCCGAAGAGGTGGGTAACTGGGCTCGACGCCATTCGTCAAAACATGAAACCGGTCCTTGGTCCCTTTACTATACTGACCTAAGACGTCGTTACCTTTTACAAAGTTCGAATTATCCTCATGTATAAAAAGGGTGTTACGTCAAATCTTGACGCTTGAAACAGCACTTTGATGACGGAGAAGTAAGTGTGTAAATTTAATTCAAAATAGTTGCTTGAAAAGCCCAAACATGATTTTCGTTTATTGTGAAAAAAATCCAACAATATTTGAGTACTGATGAAAGGTGTTGAAATTTAAGGTGAATCCTCATGAATAGGACTTTATGAGGCCGAATCCTCAGAAGGTTTCTGTTGGCGATATGGCAGCGCCAACAGGTTATACGACCAAGATAACGACGGATACGGCACTGACAAGGGAATCCGTGTAAGGTATTTTGGCACCGACGAAAGGCTAGACCACGATGGACACGGCAACGCAAAGGGCAACTGTGTAACATATTTTAATGCACTCCCCACGTATCCAAAGTCAACGTTAGTGGTCATCGAAACGGCCATAGAGGTTGCGCCTAAAATGGGATGTTAGGTATTCGGTCAAGGTATTTCTATAAAAGGATACTTGCACGCACTGTAACGGATATATATTTTTCTTGTTCGTTACGCCGAAGTGGTTCCATATCCTGTCCCTTCGGCTTTCCTTTGAAGTAACCTATTATTTTGCGTTAAAGGAGAAAAAATATAGTAGTAAGTTTGCAATCAATGACATAAAAGGAAAATCTGATTTCCAATCTGGATAACCCACTGAGATCACAGTTATTTAAGTTTTCCTGAACAAATCTTCACTCATCATCTTGATAAAATTCGGAGAAGCTGTTTAAGCCTAAATAAAGCTAGGCTGTAGTAACTATACCTAGGTCTGCAGCAAAAAAAGTCATGAAACAAGCAGAAACTTGAAGCAGTTTTCCCAGAATAAATTTGAACAAGGCAAACTTGACGTAATACGCAGAATTTATTAACCTCACAGAATTCCCTGACCCCTTAGTCATTGCCTATAAATAAGATACTATTAACTGTCTAAGCAAACGTCATCCTAAAGAGAACAAAGATAAATAAAGCATGGACTGTTGATCGACTATGAAGATGTGCATGTGAAGGGGAGGGAAGGAATGGTCAGGTTACAGTCGAAACCTGCGAGCGTGATTAAAGCTGCAACGTCCGGGACATTCGTGAAGCATGTGGCCGAGAGGACTGAGAGAAAGGGAAAGGGTATGGGGTTGCATCCATTACCGATCCTTACTATGGCAATGCAGGGTTGATCATGTCAGTTAGCTGATAACAATATTCTGCTTTTCTCCTCCATATAGCAGCGGCCTCTGGAAAATGCAGGGGACGCCCAATTGTCATGGGTTTAAAGCGTCTAAGCCGTAGAGGTATTCAGATCACTATAATTACTAGGCCAAATTCCAGGAAGGCACCTGAATGCGGGATTTATTGTGCACAAAACTCTGATTTGCTGTCTCAGGCGCCAGTAACCACTGGCGAAGCCTGTGGGTCATACATGAAGCCAGTGACGCTGCTGGCGATGTTATAGACGGACTGTGGACCACCAGCAGAACAAGACTGACCGGTAGATGATTTGGATAGCTTGACAGTGAGGGTCTCCACTAGCTTTAGTTACTGCTGCAACATAAAGCTAGTGGAGACTAGTTACTGCTGCAACATGGGAACCACAACAGACGCGTCTTCGAACCACGTTCCCACCCGCCCTCCCGGCGGCCAAGGTCT